GTTACATGCATTATGCAGTACTTACAAATAGACTATAAATTAAATTCATGCATCAACGATCACGCCATTGTCGTTACTCAGTCACGATCGGGTGACCCGTGATCGTACCTAACTCTAGCAATACCGATACAAGGGGTGTTGATCATCGGCATGACAATAGTATAAAAAATATAATTTATATAAAATATAAATTTTTAGTATTTTTGATTTAAATAAAAAAAAGGAAATTGTTAAAAAAATAGTAAATTATTTTAAAAAATAATTTATTAAAAAATCTAATAGATAAATATTATATAAATTATTACTATATAATAGGTTTAGATTACAAATAATTTTGCCTAAGTTTTTAGTTTTATCATTCTTTGGATATGAAGTTTATATATAATTTTTTTTATTTATAAAGAAAGTTTAAATAAATTTTAATGAAGATAGAAGCATAACTTTACCTTTGAAAATTAAAAAAATAAAACAATAAAATCTTTGATAAAAAATAACTTTTTAAAATTATATTAATTTATAAATAAAATTAAATTTGCTAATTATTTAATAATCTAATTTAAATAATTTTTATTAATAAAATTTACAAATAAAAAATTTATTTAAATTAAATAACTAAATAGCTAGCAAATTTATTTTTTATTTACAAAATTAATATAATCTTAAAATGTTTTTTAACAAAAATCTTATATAATAATTTTAATAAAACTACTAGCAAAACTATCTAAAATTAAAAAAATTACATAATGTTTAAAAAATAAAAAAATACAAAACTACTATAGATATATTTTATAATAAATATATAAAAGTATTAAAATTATTATATAAGTTAATACTAGATTGAGTCAACTATAATAAATTTATATAGATATAAATTTGTTGTACTATATTATTCTTAGATCTAATAAGCATCAACAAAACTTTCTAAAAAAAAAGTAAAATAAAAATTGATATTAAAAATATAATTTTTTGATTTGAAATTTTTAAAATTCTTAAATTAATTGTTTTGTAACTATAACTGCTAATAACAAATAGAATTACTTTTAAATAAAATTTCAAGTTTACAGATTAAAAAATTGTGTTATTTAATATAAAACACATCTATGGTGGTTTAGCATCTATAATATGCTTTATAGATTTTTTTAAGTTTTTATAGGTTTTTTTTATAAAATTTTTAACCCAATTTTTTTTTATGTAAGAATCAATATTTACGGTTAGAATTATAATTTGGGAAGGGTATAAGTAACACATTTTTACTTAGAACATCCCGCATTGATTAATTAGCTAGTTTTTTAAGATAATGTATTCATAGGTGTAAAACACAATAGGTGCAATTTAGAAAAAGTCTTAAAAAAAAAACAGAAATAAAAAAAAATTAGACTATTCAAATTCGAAAAAGTGAAAAATATTATTTTAACTAAATTCTTTATGATATTATATAGAAAAAAAAAAATCTAAAATAATTAAAACTAAAGTTTAATAAATGAAATTTTATATAATGTCGTCAAGTGAAAACCGAGAAGTCTAAATGTGAAATAATCAAATTTATCTGATAGTAATCACCGTTCGAGCATCATAGTTTCATTTGGATATAGTTACTTCTTTGGCCACTAACTAAAAGGCTAACGGCCTAACCCTTAATTTCTACCTTAACGCATCCACATTACGTAGTATTTCAGTACGTATTTTAATTAAATTTCCTTTTTTTGGCTTGTATTACTGACACCAATAAATCAATTGGTGTACATTGTGTACATCAGAGCAGCGTGACAGTTAAAAAAAACAAACATGTTTAAGGTAAAACATATTGTATTTGATTGTACATTAACAATATTAAGACACGGTAGCTATAATTAATAATAAAAAAGAAATGCAAAAGATAAATAGAATTAAATAATGAAATTAAATAATGAAAATGAAAATAATGAATGAATGCAATGGGAAGTGGATAGATAACGGGGAAAAATATGTATAAAAATGTCATAGTATTGTTTATCATAACCAGAATAGAAAATTTTTAGGTGCATATGGATGGATTAACATTAGACGTACAACGGGTATTAAAATGTTTTAGAACAATCCTTTTTTATATGATTATTAATTAATCAAATGTATCAATTTTCTAAAATTTTCTCACCGCCTTTAAAAACAATTTATAATAATCATTTTTTAAAATCAAATATAAAAAGCTCATCGAACCTGACGAATTTTTTATTCTCCGACAATTACAATTATAAATCTTGTAGATGCATCACAACAAACCATCGTTTTAATTTTTATAATAAAAATTTTAAGAATCAAGAATTTAAAAGATTTAACGGATCATTAAAAATTTTTGAAGAAACTCCTAGATCAATAAACATGACTGAATTTTATGATTTCAAAGTTAATGATATTAAGAAAAACCCATTTGACCTTAAGGAATTGAAAGGAAAAGTTGTTTTAATTGTTAATGTCGCTTCACAATGTGGATTTACTAAGCAATACACAGGATTGGAACAACTCTATCAAGAGTTTAAGGATCAAGGCTTTGTCATGCTCGGATTTCCTTGTAACCAATTCGGAGGGCAAGAACCCGGCACTGAAGAACGTAAGTACATACAGTATATAATTCTTGTGATTTATATATATTTACATACAGAAAATAACATAAATGTTTTTAATTTTCATTTAGAGGTTGAAAACTTTTGCAGAGTTAGTAATTACCAAGTTACTTTCCCGTTGTTTGCCAAAATTGAAGTAAACGGAGACAAAGCAGAACCTCTTTATGAGTTTCTCAAGAATAATGCACCCGAGACGAAAAATGGATCCGAACAAGAGAAAAGAATTCCGTGGAATTTTACTAAATTCTTGATTAATCGTCAAGGAAAGATTGTTCATAGATATGAACCTAATATCACGGTTAGTTTCTTAAAACATTATCGTAATAATTATTATAGTTTATGGTTATTAATAAACATAATTAAATATCTAAATTAAATATTATATATTTTATTTATATTTGTACAGCCCGAAAGTATCCGCGGTGCCGTTGCAGAAGTATTGAACGAACCAAAAAGCTGTTTATGGTAATTTGAAGAATCTAACTGCTAATATATATTTAAATCCTGTATAATTTTTTTTTTCCTACCGTTACATAGCAAAATTCTAATTCAAGTTATCGTACGTATCAAGAAAATATTTTTTAGGTATCAAGAAAATTTTTTAGATATCGTATCAAGAAAATATTTTTAGATATCGTATCAAGAAAATATTTTTAGATATTAGTATCGTATCAAGCAAATATTCTTAGATATTAGTATCCGTATCAAGCAAATATTCTTAGATATTTTTCATCAATGCTTATTATTTAAATTTGTTAAATTTGTTTAAAGGAATCATATTGAAATAAAATTTTTAAATACAGTACGCTAAGAACTTTATTAATTTTTTTCATTCATTGTGCACTATATTACATTTTTCTTTTTTTTTTTTTTTTAAAAAAAAAAGAGTATAAACAGAACTTTAAGGAACAATTCAATTCTGTAGATTAATTAAATAAAAAGGGTCAAAGGTCGTTACCCTTTTTTTTTTAATGAAATTATAAATACTTTTGAAAAGCGAAGAATAAAAAAAAAATACTCATTACGACTTTCCTACACCTAAATTCCTTTTTTTTTTTTGAAAAACTAAATGAGAATATACAATATACATATTAGAACCTATTGGAAAACTTAGGTGACGAAAAGTCTTGGGGGGGTTTTTTTTTGAAAAGCATTAGAAGATTTTTTTTTTTTGTTTTTGTTTTTTTTTTGTTTTTTTTTTGTTTTTTTTTGCATTAATAAAATGAAAAAGAAAATGGAAAAGAAGATGGAAAAGAAGATGGAAGGAAAAATAGAAGAGAATAGAAAAGGTGGAAAAGAAAAAAACTACTTGCTATGTTATATTACATGATCAAAAAATGCCATTTTTTTTTGTCGTACAGTACCTAGAGCTCTACGTCAAGATGGACCCCTTTGTACACATTATTACACATTACTATCACATTATTATTAGTGAGATATTAATGAGAGCTGCAAATACTACACGAATAAAAAAAAAAAAAAAAAAAAATGTACAAAAATTTTTTTTTTACGAATGTTTAAAAAAAAGTTTTTTTTTTTTTTTTTGTTAAAGATACTTTTTGGGGGTAAGGCCGATAATACTCGTGATGTTTGCTCATAATGTTTTAGTCAATCTTGATTTAGGATAATGATTAGGAGTAGAATAATAAACAATTCTGTTTTGTGGGCTTGAAGCGGAAGATCTT